GTGTGGGTGTGGGGGTGGGGGTGTGGGTGTGGGTGTGGGTGTGGGTGTGGGTGTGGGTGTGGGTGTGTGGGTGTGTGGGTGTGGGTGTGGGTGTGGGTGTGGGGGGGTGGGGGGGTGGGGGGCTGGGGGGCTGGGGGGGGTGCAGCCAGTTGTCGTGAGCGTGATAAAGATCATAAAAGCGCTCGCTTTTACCAAGTGTTCAGTTGCTCCATGAAGTAAAAACAAGGAACCACGGAATCTGAGTGCTGAAATGTTCAAACCTGGGAGATACATGCAGCGACTGGCCTCTACGATGTGTTGTGCCTAGATCCGAGAGAAAAGTGAAGCAGCGAGCAGGCCGCACGCTTACAACCCAGACTTCTTTCCTGGAAAGGCTTCCTCACGCAGACCGGAGTCGGCCGCTTCGATTGGGCTAGAGTCGAGCTCTGCGATTTCAGACGCCGCACAGCACCGCAAGCAACATGTAGAAGCGATGACTAACATCGGACTGTTGTGCTACCGGCCACCTGGCAACACAAAGCTTTGAGTTCGCGACACAATTGGCCCACAAATGATCATTAGCCTCGACCTGAAGGAGCGTTGGAGGGTACTCGCTTGACGGGTTCATCGACCACTTACTCTTAAACTGACTAGCAACTGTTCCAATCAAACCGCGCCGCATCTTCGCCGAGAAGTGGTATGCTACGGCAGCATAAAGCACCTAGCAAAGCATGGCACCCGCTAGAGCGTTTTCGATCTTGAGGATGCACCGGCCAAGAAACTGGAAAGAGCTTTGCCGGAGTTTGCTGGTGCCAACCTACATGTGCTTGGAAGAAGCCCGTTCTGCAGCGAATCACTGCACTTCCGGGCTTACGACAGAACAGCAGACCCAGAGCAGCAACCTCGGTACATATGTCCGACTCTTGAGTCTCGAGGGTGACTCGTAACGTGTTTTAAAGGCAGGCTTGGACGTAAGCATAACGTGCATCTCCCAAGTACTGCCTGAGCTTCCGACAATGCCCACCCCACACTCGAAAAGCATTGTGCTGGGGCCAGGTCGCATAAGCCTGGCTGCTTGTCGCGGAATGCTCAGCGACGCTGTCCACCTGAATTTGATACACATACTCGGCTCGATGCTGCATCCTTCTGGCTGTGTTGATGGGTAGCGAACTAACGGGTTCCCCGTCTTCTTGTGCTTCAAGAAGAGGCCTCTGATTCTGGCCTCTCTTTCCAAGGTCTGTCAACATCGTAGTGGTGCAAAGTGGCAGCTTGCGAGCAGAGGATGCGTCGGTCATTCTGAGGCATGAGCACCCAGTGGTGCAAAGTGGCCCGACCTTCTGCGCACAAATCCGGCTGAAAGTTGCCATCGATCCAAGCGTAAGAGCTCTTCATGCCTGTATAAAGTAAAGCAAACTCCTGCCCCTGCAAGAGCGGCAGCTGCAAATACGGCCTCAAGGCGGTGAGCACTGCAACCGCAGGCATGGGCACTGCAATAGTCGCCAGCTGGAGTTGGTGCAGGAGCTGAGTCGAGTCTAAGGCCATTGCTACACGAAACAAGCAGAATTTCCAAGGAGAAGCAAGACCTCCAAAAGGCCAAGCTCCAGAAACGTCACAGGCCAAGCTCTGGAGCATATCGGCCCTCACCTTTGACACGATGCCGGGCGATGTCGCATGCTTGTAGCCTGGTCTGGAGGAAACACGCAAGGGGTCGGCAATTGAAGCACGAAGATCCGCTTGTCGACCGGGAAGTCGCCGGAACATGCCGGAACACAGGCGATCAGAGGCTGCTCGAAACGAGCAGCTGAGTGCTGATCAATATAATACTCCTTCTTCTGGAAATGGCCTTCTTCGCAGAGTGCTGTTTTCCCTTCGCGGGACTTTCGCCCCCCACTTTCGCGCTACGACTTAGTCGTAGTAAAAGTAGTAGTAGTAGTCGTCGTCGTCGTCGCAGTAGCAGCAGCAGCAGCAGCAGCAGCAGCAGCAGCAGCAGTAGCAGTCGTGGTGGTGGTGGTGGTGGTAGTACTCTCACCTGCACCCGGACCGGCAAAAGCTTGCAGCAGCACCCGGCTGCTGCAGCTGGCTAAATTGCACTAGCATCTTCAGCCGCCTAAATCTTTGGCGCTATGCATGCTGAGCGCGTCTACGGCCTCTCTAGAATGACCATTCTGTGCTCAGCATCGGGGGATGGACAACCAGCTTGCTCGCAGACCGACTAGGTCACCGCTGCATGGGGGAATGCATCCCAACAGCCACCCAGACCACTATGATACCATACCCGCTGTGGAACGGTGCATATCTCGAATCCCATGATCACCGTCCCACTCGGGCCCTTTTTCTTCCGCATCCTAAATTCCAATACATTGGCAGGATTTAGTTCGAACAGTCGAAAGTCCTGGCAGCTCCTCAAAACGCTCGAAGTGCCTCAAGTCTTGCAGGACACTCTGTGAGGCTCTTGGTGCTTCGTCGTCTGCTCCCCAACCCCGTGTACAGGACATGTCTAGGCCGTAGTACACGTCTGTATTTGAGGTGGGGTTCGTCGCACCGTTGCCTCCACACCCATTGCTTTCTTGAGGGATTGAACTAAAGGAGTCTCCACACATTGACATCAGGTTCTGAATTCAGGCAGCTTGTGCCGCGAGGGGGCGCAAACTTATCTGCGTTGAAAGAACTTCTTGGGAGCCCTGGCTGAGTGTCAGACAGTTGGAACACAACGAAGACCAGAAGGGATGGCATTCTGAGAAGGCGTCGGCATCACCATGACTCGATAGAAGAGTCCTTCTAACAGTCCAAGGCAGGGGCTGCTCCATTGCCCGAAGTGGTGCCCAGCCAATGACGGGGATAAGCCTTGAGCGCAGATCGGGTACATGAATTCTTCGAGGTTTGCCTTTTCCGCAGATTCTGGAGGAACTCCTGCTCTCGCGCGTGTCCCAATTGCTTTTCTGGGCGAGTCCGGTTGGTGCGACTCCCTGGGTTCAGAGACGTTCAGATCTGGCCTGGCCTTCTGCTATCCGGAATGCCCCACTTGCCCACCACTTGCAACATCCCGTGCCCCCAAACCTGCCGCTAGTTCCCGTTGCAGCGCAATCCTCACCCCTCGCTAACCTGCGACCGGATTCAGGTGACCTAAGTTTCGAGGTGCAGAATTCCGTACGTCTTGAAGGCTTACCCGCCTCCTTCCCGTCTCGGCTCCAAGCTGCTAAATTCCCAGAATGCAGTCTCTTGAAAGAAGCTACAGTAGCAGCCCGACGGCGCTCTAGCTGGCTTAGGGATGCGCTCAGGACAAAGCGACTAATGGAGTTTAACCATGTAAAGTAGAACGTGGAGGGTTCGTCATTTAGGCTAGGAAATGCATTTGCATGTGTTGTTGTTTCTGGGGAGGGGGGGGCGGAATGCAAGGGAGGATGTTGCCTTGCTACTGACCCGTTGTTTTCGCAATGGTTGGTGAATCGAGAGGTTTGAACCTCCATGAATCCCACGAACAATTTGTGCTGGAACAAGGCCAAGGCCAACATTCAGCAACGCTTATGTGGTCAGTGAAACTCCGTGACAATGCCGGTGCCTGTGGGCTGTTGAATGCCGTCATTCCAAAGCATGAGGTGAAGGGCATACGATGCCGGGTTTAATGTAAAAAGTGTCGGAGGGTAAACTGCTTTAAGTTTTTGGTCGCCGAGGACTTAAATATGCGTTTAAAATTTCACGGCGCCGTTTAGTTGCAGTCGGCGTTGTCGCAATCAAACCTTCGATCCCATGACTTTCCTGACGCACATGGGAGCGCTTGCGAAGGTTTATTGCCGGGGACTGTTCGTGCAGTGGAGCTGTCGAGTCATCCATCCGAGTGTCATTTAGCAATTGAAGCAAGCAGCGTGCTGGGAAACCGAAGTTCGTTGCAACAAACCCTCCGACAACAGTTGAAGTTCGGCGGGATTCCAGGTATCATGCGACAGGGACGCAGACCTTTTCGAACTGCTGCTACGCTCAGGTACTAGTAGTTTGGCGCATGTGAAGGTCCATGCAAAGGGGCATCCGGCAACGCTGCAACACCCAGCAACATGTGCAAGCATACTTGTCAGTGAACATTCCCATTACGCATCCCATGACACATACTTGTCGAAGGGAACATCGTACGACATCATGTCGCCATGCCCTACAGGCAGAACCCAAGCCACTAGGACAACAGGTGCTCCTCTTGCTACCCATCGGGGACTGAAATACAGGTCTGACGCAAGTCGTTCGTCCCAGGTGTAAGGCTTAGCTTGTGTTGCACACTGTGCTTGTGGGCCTCTGACTTCTTCGACTGTTCACCACGAACAAGTCCCACCAGCTCAGCCCAACGCATAGCACCGGTCGTGCCCACTGCATACCATAGGGTGTACGCCTGCAGCTTCACATGTAGTTCATACATTCATACGATCTTGGACGAGACTCTCTTGGGGCGGCTGCCAAGTACAAGCCCAAATTGTACTGGCCAAGCGCAACAAGCACCGCTGCATGCAAGCCTGTGCACCAGCAAGATGCTGAAACGAGCTGGTGTGAATACGCTGCCAAGACACCGATCAGGTTGTTCACAAAGATGTACCCACCCCAGGTAGCCCTTCGGTCTGAGGCGCAGATTCAGCATTGAGTGCCAGGTCCGAGGACAGGACGCAGCGGAGAAGTAGGCCAAACCTGCCACAGCCAAGACTCCAACTGCTGCTTAAATCTTTGAACTGCCTCTACACTCTCTAACTCTTGCTTGGCCTTGTAGCCTGTTTCAGGATTTGGGGGCACATTTGGCCTTGAACACTCTGAAGGCGGTAAGCGTAACACAGGGCAGCACGACCGGCAAGCACACCCCAGGGCCAAGATCTGGGAGTTCTGATCGACCGGCACCATCTTAGCTTGTAGGGTGTCAGCAATTTCCAGTCAGGTGATCCTGCACTGTTGACCGCGGACTTCAGGCTGCCGGACACTGGAGGAAGGAAACAAGAAATATTGGCAACGGCACAATGAAGCGCCAGCTCCAGCTGATCAGACAATGCAGGAGAGCGGAAGGAGGCACCGGACAGCTTTTGGTAAGGATCTCACAACCAGAAGGTTGCGCAGAAGCACGTGACCTCACAGGGTCAACTAGGACTCGCAGACTTTCCAGCCATCTGATCAGATCTTGAGCCCTGAGCCGCCACAGCCTCGTTGTCATACTCTCCCGCACTGGAACGCATCATATGCGCTGGAATGATGGCCATCACCTTTCGGAGAGGCAACAAGACTTTAACTGCATGTTCCACCTCCTTCCTGGTACTGGTAGAAGCCTTTAAGGATGTGCCATCCTAGGCCTTTTAAAGAGGATTTCGGTGAAGTCTTCCAGGATGGGGCTTTGGGTTTCGAAGGGAATCAGCTTAAGAGGACGAGGAGCAGGGAAATGGCCCACTGACGTTACCGCGGCCGTCAACCCATTTCCCTCCAAGGATCTCTGAACGGCTTCGTAGTCATGGCCGCTCTCTGCGAGGGGTTCGAGAGAGCGTGTAGCCAATGCAGACAAGCTTCAACAAAAACTAGAAAGAGGAACGGGTAGTGGATGGGAAATGATGGAATGACGTGTAGACCGTAATAACTGAAAAGGAAAAGGAATACGAACAGTTTACAGAACTTGCGGAAAATGGCAACAACCCAGACCCCAAACAACGTGAGACCGGGGGGGTTTGGCGAGGAATCAACGGAAATTTCGCAAGAAGGGGCTTGGGACTGCAGGAACACACCTACAATGGGGAATTGAAAGCGAGGAGCCTACGAAACTCGTGGAAGGTGACAACCACACAGACCAGAACCCATGACGGGGAATGCAAAACGAAGAACCTACGGAGAATTTGTGAAAACTGGCGACAGCCCCAACCTCTAGGGTCTCGGACGACGGGAAGGGAAGAGATCCACGAATGCCCTGCAGCAACGAATGCAAAGCGAAGAGCCTGCCGAGCAGATGGCAATAACCCGGACATCCAATCTCGGCGACGCGAGACCGAGGGTCAAGAATCCTACAAAAGTGAAAGGAAAGCGATTACCGTTTGCCGACAACGGCAACCGCGCAGGCCCCAGTCTCGGCATTGGGAGAATGCTGGGAGAAGCCTGCTCGTGGAATGGAAAGCGAGAAAGTGCAGAAGTTGAGCGAGAGGGCAACAACCCAGACTCCGCACCCGAATCTCGGTGCAAGATGCTCTGGCTGCGATTAGCAAGAACCCTGCAACGGGGAATGGAAAGCGAAAGACCTGCGGAACGTGCGCTTCGCCCAACTCAAGTGGACAGCCAATTTTGGCGCAGACCGGGGGGTCTGGGATTACAGCTGGAACGCTTTACGGGGAATGGAAGGCGAAAGACCTACGGAACCTGCGGATGAATCGCGGTGCGAGACATGGGGGTCTGGGATCACAGCAAGAACCCTGCAGGGAGAATGGAAGGCGAAAGATGGCAACAACCTAGACCCCAATCTCTGTGCGAGACGGGGAGTCTGGCATTGCCAGCAACGGATCTTGCGGAAGATGGCCACAACCCAGAGCCCACAATCTCTCTGTGCGAGACCGGGGTCTGGGATTGCGGGAAGAATGGAACACGAAGAAACCTACTAAGCTGACCGCGCCTTTGGGAGGACTAGTGCTCGGCCCGACATCCTGCATGCATGAGGTGACCTAGTTCAGGACTTCGGGCCCTCATCTACATAGGATCNNTAGATGGGTGTACACGATAGATGGGGTTACTCAGGAGCGGGATGCTGCAGGATGTTGCGATCCCAAAGGAGTCGCCACTAAAGCCACGATCTTATTGATCCAGTGGTCCATGCCATGGATTTGAAAACTCGAGAGAGGCATTGTGGCTGGCAAACAAAGACATAGAAGACTCACCCATGGCAGCAACAACCTGTGAGACTGGGTGACACACGAACTTTAACACGCAAATTGGTTCTGGAACAACCCTAAATTAATTCGGCCGCCCTTGTTTCCGCATGTTCGCCCGGCACGAGCCCCTTGCAGGCATGAAGCCAGCGTCAGTTGGTAAACGGAAGTCTCCAGCTGAGATGGGCACCATTCCGGCAGCAACTCCAGCTGAACGACTCTCAGAAGCCTGCGTCAGAGGGCATGTGCAAATTGGGCTGCAAATAACTGCAGCTTCATCGTGCCTCTATGGTCAGCAGCACGAGGAACAGAGTTGCGAACCCACCTGCGCGGCTTTTGGTTTTTCTGACCTGATTCGGTTTTGGCTATTGTCTGGGCACCGTGCCAAACCAAGCTGGTGTCAACACCTGAAAGGGGACCAGATACCGACCCTGTCTGTTCGCCTCTGCCCTGTATGTGAGAGGCTTCTCATATAGCCAAGAGTCACAGACGTCGTTCAGCTTCATCGGCCCGAACTGAGCCACAGCTGTGCCAAG